CATAAATATTTGAAAATTCTAATCAATTGATAATAATATATGTACGTGAACTTTTTCATAATTTATGCATATTCTCATAATTATTAGCAAATTATGATTTATATTTTTTTATTAAAAATTATATCATAATATATTATATGTAATATATTAAAATTAAATAATTTATTTCATACAAAAAAGAGATTTATATTTTTTTATTAAAAATTATATCATAATATATTATATGTAATATATTTAAAATTAAATAATTTATTTCACACAAAGAAGAGATTATTAATATCATTTCATTAACAAGCAATAAATTTTAACTTCTATTATAGAAACGATTATTGCAATTTTATAATTTCATGTTGAATAAAATATTCGGTTTATTCATAATGCGTAAAAATTTGTTTTTAGAACTTTTTTGTTTCTCTGTTTTGAGATTATATAAATATCTATTCATTATTTTGTAAAGAATAATTTAAAAATTGAAAATGCGCAAATTGAAGCTATATAAATAAGTGATAAACTATTTAAATAAGCGTAAATAGTATAATTATTTCATTGAAATCAAAATCTTTTTATTTTTAAAAAAATAGTTTTCTTTCTTTCTTCAGGAGTAAATATTTCATCGAACACGTGTAGGTCACACGACTTTCTTGCAAAATATATAAATCACGTGAGTAAACCGTATGATAGTAATCGTCTGGAACAATATCATCGGATTGATTTGTTTGATTACACGGAAATCGAACGCAAATTCGCATAATTTACAACGTTATTTTCGTTTTCTTATGATTCGTACCATCTTGTCCCAAAAATTCATGATCAATAAAAAAGATAACGATAAAAAACATTTCGTTAGTTCAATTTTATTTATTTTTAAATATAAAATGAAATAGAAAGAAATTTCCTCTTTAAAAGATTGTTTTATCTAAAAGATCATATCTTCTTATTAATCCAGATGGAAATATTATTTCGAAATTATATTTCTATTGAAATCAAACATTAGCAAAAGCAGAAGAATTATATTTTATTTTGTCATACTTTTATATATATATATTCTATAATATAAATAAAAAAAGGAAAACTATTCGAGAACATAATACATTTTGCGAATGATTAAAAATTTGCTAAATTTTTGTTTATTTTAAATATAAGACAGTTTATTTAATCAAATTTATTTATTAAATAAAGAGAGACTACATGCAGTTTTGCAAACTGAAATTTATTCTCGAAGTACGCCACGTTTAAGGAACAGAATTGTTTATTTATTTTGCTTTGAAATAAATTTTCCTGATACAAGAAAAGAAACAAAGTATATAAATTTATAAGCTTCATATTACGTATTTTATCATATAATGAAGTAATCATTTTAAAAAAGAAAATAAATTAATCAATTTACTATAAATTGTAAATAAAAATTAAATAATTTCTTATCGAAAAAAATTTGAAAGAAAACATTTTCTTATTGAAAATACCGAACTTAGATGGTGGTATGATTAGGACTAAATAGAGAAAATTTCCATTATTATAGCGCACTTAGCGCACTCCCTTAATAGCCCTTAATAGAGACACATAGTTCGTTCACACGCATCTTTAGATAATCATGTACAAGAATGTGGAACATTTTTGCCGGTATCTTCAAACAAAGAAATTCTTAAGCACTTTCCAGTTCGTCCTATCATCGACTCTACTTGTACGATATAGTCAGGAGTCATTACAATAACGATTATTATCGATGTTTCATGTTGGAAGCATTTCGTTCTTCTTAGTCTTTCACGTTTCTCTGATATTTGTATATTATCTATGTCAGTTTGAATTTGAATTATAGTAGAGAGCCAACAAAATTATTAAAATTTCGTTCGAAATATGGAAAAATGTCTTTAGAAAATATAAAAATATTTCAAATATAAGATAAAAACTATTTAAAAGAAAAATATTTTAAAATATCCTAAAATAATTTAAAATATCTTAAAATATTTCAGAATATTCCATAAATGATATATAGCCGGAAGCCACAATGTTGATAATTGTATGATATCAAGTCGTGAAAGTCTCAAATCTCTGATTAGGGACGGAATTAATGTAATTTGAGAACAGAAATTAAGGTCGAGGATAGATCTTTTTGTTCGGGAAGACAAGGTGAAAGAAATTTAGGGAAAGTGTGACTGTATACTTTTTTCTTTCTATTGGATTCTTTTTAAAAGCAACCTTTAATTCTTGATCGATGATATACTTCTCTGAAGATAATTAAAACAGTAGTACTTGAAAATGAGAAAGTGAAAACAGATCTACATTCTGAGATATTCAGAAAATTTTATAACTTTTTTATTTTTGTTTACGATCATTAAACTGTTTCTTTTTTCATACTGTTAAGAATGAAATGTAATTTTTTATTTCTTCTTTCGAAGAATATACCCATCTTGAAAAAATTAATCGTAAAAGAATATTATATAATTTATAATATTCATTAAATCAATGCTATTAATGAAAAAAAATATTATAAGATAAATCTTATCGTGATTTAGAAAATCAAAAAAAAAAAAAAGTAAAAATTAGAACAGATAATGAATATTTTCGTTGCATAAACATTGAACCACAACCTCGAAGATCACGCAATGAAATCACCGTATTCATGGATTACAAGAGAAAATGTAGGTTCCTTGCATAATCCGACCTTTGATTTGATTTTGTTGTAACGCCTCAACACCTCAGTTTCAATGCAACTTTCATTATTCAGAAAGGTCGTACAAGAAGAGAACGTATATCGAAAAAATTATAATTCAAGAACTGTTTTTCATCATCGATTGTCTATTATATTTTTCATTCTTTAGAAATATTTTGTACATTTTATCTGCGTATCAACATACAATTAATTGATATTACAAGACAAATAATGCATTCAATATGACATTGTCATATCTTTAAAGATCAAGGATATCATACAAGATATCGACATGAGAATCAAAAGGCTGTTAGAAACTAATAAAGATCATATTAAATATTTGCACAAAAGAAGTTTCTATAAAATCAGTATGATTACGATCTTTTTTATAGTTTTTTCGATTATTATATTATTGATACTTGAAAGCAAAATGTTTTATAATTAACTTTTATAATTTGATAAAGTAAAATTAAAATATAAATCAAAATATACTATATATATTCTTAAATCAAAATATCTTAATTTTAATCTTAATCTTTTTTTCTAGCACAATATTACAAATGAAACTTAATAAATCGAACAATCTAAAAACATAAATATTATCTTAATCATAAGACAAATAGTTTCATTCAATACAATAACGAGAACAAAATTGTTATATTGTATAATTGTAAAATTGTTAGGAAATTTTTGTTCCAAAATGACATAACTTACAATAATTCCGTATTGCCTATCCATCTACAAAAAAAAAAAAAAAAATCAAAGTGCATACAAAAAAGCTTTCAGGCTTCAAGGAAAAGGATAAAAAATTCATCGATCATTCTTGGTGAAGTTTCATTTCGGTCACGAAATCTATTGGCGCCATCCCACGTTCCTTCTTCTGTTCACTCCTCGAGGATGCCTGACACGTTCCTGAATCCGAATCTCGTGTTTGTACGGCCTATTCATGGCGTAGACATAATCGTGGCGTGGCTGCATAACGGTAAAAACAGATCGGCGTGCATTCACTTTTCCCCGTTCGAAGCGCGTGCAGTTTCTATCTCATATACATACATACGTATATATGAGCACAGACGAAGATCGCTGTAGGCAATACCTTTTAAAACTGACGAGTCATCGATTCATCCAGTCATCATGTACAAATAACTGATGGAATTATCCTTTTGTGCTGAAAATGGAACCGATCTCGATCCTTACTCTTGATTTTGAAAATGGAACAAAAGTTGTATAACATTTTGATCACAAACGAAACGGTATACAGAGTATAATTATTGAGATCCAATTATAAAGAAATAAACAATTGAGAAACTTTCTAAAATTTTTATTTCTTCATTTTACAGAACTGTTTTATAATTTATGATTTACCATTGTATGTAATATATTATAAAAGTAGAATTATTATAGCAAATTTTTAAATTTTCCTTGAAACATGAATTAAAATTAAGGATTAAATTAGATTGTAATTTATCTTTTTCTATATCAAAAATTTTTAATAATTCAAGAATCTTCATGTGATTTAATTTAATTTAGAAATGAAATAGAATTAAAATAGAATTGTTTTTTTTTTTTTAATTCTAATATTTATCTTTACGCAGAATAAAATTTGGTATTAATTAAGCATTATTTGTTGGAATTTCGAGCAAAACTAATTTATTAAATAAATTTCTGGAATGTATAAATGCCATCTAAGCAAGTGGCATCTATTAAAGTTGAAAAGTAGGCTAACGTACCGGCTGGAGATGATTCAATACTCGAGTGAAAGCTTTAACAACTAAAACTGAATGCAAACTTTGTGACATATCTATTTATATATCTATGTACTACGTATATCCTTCCTCGATTCTAATTTTTTTAATAAATTTTTATAAAATTTTACGCTTTTCTTTTAACTAGATCCTTATTTTCTACTTATAATATTATTAATGTACACATTAATAATGTATAATTTATAATATTATTAATGAAATTTTACAAAATTCAAATTATTAGAATCTATTTGTAAAAAGAAATTTACCCTTTAATTTATTAATATTATTAGTTATTATTGTCAATAATTAATATTATTAATCTTATATTATTCTATATTATAATCTTACATTTTTTATATAAAATCTTTTTTTCTTTTAAAATATGTATTTTATATCGCATTGATTATAGAATGATAATGTTAGGCTTAAATATATGAATATATTTTAATATACATATTTATATCTTTGCGAAAATTTAATAATGTAATCTTATGATTTTATTCCCATCTTTTTATCTTTCTTTTTATATCTACATTCATAGAATATGTAGGCAATCCGTCAGTTAATTGTCGGTTATACTTATATAATCTTTTCATTTTCAGACGATTCCGGTGTGTCAAGGTTCGAGGGGAAGGTGACGAGCAGGTTTCAGACGAGAATCTTCAAGATACCTCGAACGAATCCGGCAAGAAACCTTGTCAACTAAAACGAACATGCTCGTTATAGACTATCGTCAAAGGCATCCTTGTTGGAGGATGCTGCTTGCCATCGTCATTTTGTCCGGCCTCATTAGGTATAGCGAACCAATGTCGACGAAAAGGTTAACAGACTCATCATCTTCATCATCATCGTCGTCGTCGTCCACGTTATCAAATTCCGGCGAATCGAGGTCACAGAATCTTGGCTCGCCAAGCGATCTAGCCTGGCAAGCTTGGCTCCTTCTAGATCATCAAACAGGAGGTCATTCCAGCTTGGATTCAGCCAGTTTCCTCAAACGGATCACACCGAAGAGTGTGTTCATCGCGCCAGAGCTGCCAGCTTTACCGCCCTGTGCTGACGGTTATCGTGCAGATACGATGGGCAGGTGCGTGAAAATCGTGAACATCGATCACGAGGCTCACCTTGGTTTCCTTCTTCAACGGCTGAACAATCGATACGGGAACCGAGGTGGCAGCTCCGAGGCGTTTAACAGTAATAAAAAAAAGTCCAGCGGCCCGTTGCAGTTGAATATCCCTCTGTTTTCCATGACCAGAGAATCGATAAACAGACCAATCGTGGTTCCTTCCCAAAAGGACGTCATCGTGGCTCTTCCCCAAAAGGATGTAGAAGAGAAGAAAGTAGAAGAAGAGGTAATATTTTATTCACGAATTCTCTTTCATCATGTATATTTACTAACTGTAAGTTAGAGAATATAAATAGGATTTAACAGCACAGATTCCCACTTTTTCACATATTCATTCTTTTAAGAATTTTTCTTTCATTCATTGTTAATTATATTAACGTCATTGTTATTACATTGTTATATATTATATCTTAAAGATAATACTTCAAAATATTTGAAATATAATTTGATCGTTACAGGTAGTAAAGAAAATAGAAGAAGACATAATGGAAAACATGGAGGAAGAGATAAAGGAAGAGGAGCAACCGTTGGAATCTCTGGTTATGTATTATCAGACGAAGAACAACAACGAAGAACAGGAAAACGAGGACAATGTTTCTCGTGAGAATACTACCATTTCTGACGAATCTATTAATGAACCTCCCGACGAACTATTTGAAGAGGAAGATCAGAATACTACTATTCGTGATCAGAATACAACTATCCACGATCAGAGTACTACAATCCACGATCAAAGTACTACAATCCACGATCAGGCTATTACAATCCACGATCAGGGTACTACAATCCACGATCAGGATACTACAATCCATGACCAGGGTACTACAATTCACAATCAGGATACTACAATTCACGATCAGGGTGCTACAATTCACGATCAGAGTACTACAATTCATGATCAGAATATTTTCATTTATGATCAAAGTACTACTGTTTATGATCAAAGTACTGCCATCTATGATCAGAGTACTAATACCCATGACCAGAGTACTACCATTCACGATCAAAATACTACTATCTATGATCAAAATACTACCATCCATGATCAGAATACTACCATTCACGATCAGAGCACTACGAGCAATGACCAAAATACTACCATTTACGATCGAAGTATTACCATCCAGGATCAAACTACTATGCGTTCCTCGTTAGAAATCCCATGAAAGAAATATGGATTTGATTGGTTATTCGAATGGACCGAATATGTACAATCATAAAAATAGGAATGCCTATTGATCAGAAGTCTTGCATCTACAAATAAGACCATGTAGCGCTATTTATCGGTGTACAGTACTCCCGTACACTTGTACCGTCCTGTGAGATTTATGAGGCATACATAAATACTACCATCCATGATCAGAGTACATACTACATACTATCCGTGATCAAAACAAAATTAGACGTTATTCGAATAATATTTTAAATAAAATTCTCGAATAATCTTAATAAATCGAATAAATGGAAGTCAATAATCTATCGATATGCATTGTCCGAATAATTTTTCTTTCTCAATTAAAAATTCATCTGGTTTTCTATCATATATCTATCATTCAGAATCATTCATCTCGCGCACATATATATGCATACGTAAGTTGGAGTTACCTCATCAATCAAAAATATTATTAATTGTAATGCTTTCTTAAAATAAAAAAAAGTTAGAAAGCTCACAGAAAAAGAAACAAATTTGCGAGAAGCAAAATCGTTTTTAAATTTTACGATGTTATTGGAATAACGTTCAACTCTGCGATAACTCTTTTATACGAAAATACGCGATAGAATGCATGCAATTACGGAATGAAAAAATTATTATTGTCATTAACAAAATCTATTGATATATCCTTTAGATTTTTATATGAGATAAAATTATATATACGTGTGGTTATATCACGTACGAAATTAAAAAAAAAATTATTAAATCTGACATCGCGGCCAGTAATTCTTTTTACTGCTCTACATATGCTTCGATGTGGTGTGTAATCTCTTTTTCTCATGTATTTGAATGTTAATTCGTGTACATATTAATTTTATTAAGAGAAATTGTATATACATTACATAATTAAGAAGCGTCATCAGCGTCTTAACGTGTATTAATTGTAACTGTATAAAAATATTATTGTATTATTTATAGCTAAATATATCGATGTATATTATACATTGTCGTGTCGTATCATGTAGGAAGTATTCTTAGATCGCAAAACAGAAAGAACGTATAAAAAAATCAGTCGATATTGGTTTTGCGCCAAAATATCATGCTTTGTTATTATTTACAACCTGTCCAGGCATGATAAGCGATTATGTTACAAATCATTTAATTCATTAAACATTTTTTATTGTACATAACTTAATTGTTAAAGGAACTGCATGTTACGTTGTAATTGTAATTTTTTATTGTACATAACTTAATTGTTAAAGAAATTGCATGTTACGTTGCATTACTGGATGTACTTTTTATCCCTTTGAATTCCCGAGCAATAAGAAATTTCTCAGTAGACTCATCTCTTGTTGCTTTTGGTCTTATATTTTTTACATATTTGAAAAATCGTGTCAGATCTTTCTCCAATTGTAAAGATTTCTTACCATCCCATAGTTTACAAACAAATATTCCATTTATATGAATAATTTGTAAAGCAAATTTTAAAGCACTATATACAAGTTGCATTATATTTTCATGATCTAAATCTCTTATACCAGATGCATTTGGTGCCATATCTGATAAAAATACATTCACTTTTTGACCATTTAAAATGTTCAAGATTTTATTTTGAGATGTTGCAGCCGTAAAATCCATACCATTTAATAAAGTTGCACCTTCAATAGGATAAATTGGTTGTTTATCTATTCCTAAAACAGTTCCAATAGCACTTTTTTGTTTAGCATTTGCATTTGTAAATTTAACAGCAACTTGAGTCCAACTACCAGGAGCAGCTCCACAATCAATTACAATTTTTCCTGGTTTCAATATCTTAAATCTTTCATTAATTTCTAACAATTTATATGCACTTCTACATCTATAATTTTCTCGTTTAGCCAATTCCACATAAGGATCTTGTATTTGTCTTGTAAGCCATAATTGTGAACTATGCTTCTTTCCTTTTAAATTTTGTGGTATTTCTCGAAATAATGTAGAATAAGTATGTAAATTCCTTATTATTAAAAATATTCTTGAATAATAATTCATGATATAACCTAACTTAGTAATAATTTCATGTATCAAATTTTTATACATATAGATTGATCATTTTCTTATTTTGAATAATTGTTTATTATTCAATTATTTATTATAAAAAACAATTAATAAACATTGCGCTTTGAATAAAGTTATAAGATTTAACAGTTTTAAATAAAACTTTTTACATATATGTACTTACAAATTACGATCCGGTTTTAGTATCAGCTGATTAATACAGAAGAATACGCATGCGTAGAAACTCTATGATGGTGACGGAACTTCGTAGTTACAAAAAGTATCTCATGTGCTTGCCGGCGAAGATGTGATAGAATTCCGCGACTAAATGATCATATGAGCGAATGTTGCGATTAAAGAAGTGATTTACGATGAACCTAACTACAGGGAATCCTCACGGTAACGGCTTGCTTTATGCTGGTTTCAATCAGGATCAAGGTATGTGACCGAGTGTACTACATTTGACAGTCCGGTCATGTACTGTCAAATTTATTTTTTTACTTCTAACCTGTATATCTAATATTCTTGTTTCATAAATTTATTATGATTTTTTTTCTATGTAATTGATATCGTTTTAATATAAAAAAATATGTTTTCAACAGACGCCATTTGTTTAAAATAATTAAAATAAAAAAACTTATAATCATTTTTTTTTTAACCTTATTCTTGTAAGATCATAACGAATTTAATAATAAATTTGTTATAGATATACTTTTTAAAAATATTTATATATCTTTCATTTTATTTTAATTATTTAAATTTACTTTAACTATTATTTAAATTATCTTTTAATTATATCTTATTTATGAATATTGATTTATTTTTCTTTATAAATATGAATTAAAAAAAATTGCTTGTAAATCTATTGATATATAAACATATTTTATTCAAATTATTAAACAATATTAAACAATTTATTTTTATAATTCATTCATTCTTTTATATTCTTTTATTTATATATCATATGATATGATATTTCATAAAGAGTTACATGATAATTATTCAACTGTAGTGGTTTATCTTCTTAGTTTTCTATGTGTTTACATTAATATATATCTTAAATAAGAAACATGTATGTTTCAAATACTACATTATGATCCTAAAGAAAAAAGATATCTATATATATGTAATGCAAAAATAGATAACAATATCTTTATTGTTTGTGTAATCTTTTCACTTGTAGGATGTTTCGTTTGTGGTATGGAAAATGGTTTCAGAGTATATAATTGTGATCCTTTAAAGGAAAAGGTACGTCATTTCAGTGATGGAGGTCTTGGTTATGTGGAAATGCTGTTTAGGTGTAATTATTTAGCATTAGTTGGTAGTGGAGCAAAACCCATGTATCCAACAAATAAAGGTAAAATATATTTTCTTTTTACTTTAAGATAAATATTATAGATAATATATATAGATACAATAGATTATTTATTATTTATTTCATATAATATATTTCAGTTATGATATGGGATGACCTTAAAAAAAGATCAGCAATTACTTTAGAATTCAATGCTCCTGTAAAAGGTGTTAAATTAAGGAGAGATAGGATAGTAGTAATTTTAGAAGGAGTTATAAAAGTTTATACATTTACAAGAAATCCACAACAACTTCATGTGTTTGAGACTAATCCAAATCCCAGAGGTCTGTGTGTTCTATGTCCAAATAGTAGTAATTCCTTGCTTGCTTTTCCTGGTAGAAAGAATGGACATGTTCAAGGTAAAATTTTAAATAAAAAGCTAGCTTTATTACATAAAATATCTTTCTTTTTTTTACTGTTACAGTAATTGATTTGGCTAATACAGAAAAACAACCATTAAATATTGAAGCGCATGAAACACCTTTATCATGTATTGCTTTAAACTTACAAGGTACTAGACTAGCTACAGCTTCAGAAAAGGGCACTTTGATAAGGGTATTTGAAACACAAACTGGAAGTATGATTAATGAATTAAGAAGGGGAGCTAATCATGCAAACATTTATTGGTAAATAAAAACATTAAAAACAATTATTTGCTAATATAAAATAAAACAGTACGATCTCTATTATTGTAGCATTAATTTTAATCATGATTCCACTTGGTTATGTGTGGCAAGTGATCATGGAACTGTACATGTTTTTGCTGTAGAAGATCAAAAATTAAATCGTCAATCTAGTTTAGCATCTGCCACTTTCCTGCCAAAATACTTTAGTTCAAGCTGGAGCTTTTGTAAATTTCAAGTTCCGGGTGGTCCACAATGTATGTGTGCATTCGGAACTGATAATAATAGTATTATAGGTGAGTATTATAATATAATGTCTCAATATGAATACTTAACAATGTTTTTTGGCATAACAGTATTTTTATTGCAGTAATATGTGCAGATGGTAGTTATTATAAATTCGTGTTTAACAATAAAGGCGAATGTACGAAAGAATTTTATGCACAGTTCCTCGAATTAACGGACGATAAAATGTGATTGGAAAATAAAGAAGAGGTAAATTTCTTAAACTTTTTTAAAAATTTTATATACTAAAAAATAAATAATTTTAATATTTTGTTTTTAGTGTCCTTTGGATGAGTTCACATGAAATAAATTATATGGGAAGTGAGTACTGTGTTTGTTATTTGAAGTCATATATGTAGAGGACCAAATGGAAAGTACTATTATTTGTTGGTGTTATGTGCACTGTGCAAAACTTTGATCATAACAAAAAAAAACTTTAAGAACTCTAGAGGCCTATTATTGAGATGTCTACTTATGGAACTATAAGTTCTTAAATGTTAACAAAAAAAAAAAAAAGAAAAACTCGATTTTAGAGTTTTGCTTAACGTGTCAATGTAAAAAGTAATTTTCGTACATTTAAATTAAATAATTTTTAGCTAAAGCTAATGCAAATATACGAATAATACCATTTTGAAAGTAATCCAACAATTTTTAATGGCGCATTATGCTTGGCGATTAAATCATGATATTTTTTATATTTATTTTATAAAATTATAAATTTGTTATTTTTTTTATCGTTACAAAAATGCTTGAATATATTTCATATTCCGTATTTCGTGTCATAAATGTTACAAATTAATGTAATATCATGAAATTTGGTTAATTATTGAAATTAAAATTTTTTTATTCGATAATTAGCCAAATGAAAAATGGGACGTATATAACGTAATCGAATTTTTATAATCTTTATTTTTATGGTTTCATACATTTAATATACATATACACAAGAAATAACTACATTCAGTTATCATTATTGAAATATTACCCCAAAATGTCACAAGATTGTAATATCATAAAGAAATTGGGATCTAATATAAAATAAAAGCATTATGAGACGAAACATTGTATTTGTTTATAAAATATAAATAATATGATCAGTTGCAAGCGATCTATTTCATTTTCTATCCTTTTCGAATATTGTGCGGAATTTGATAAAAAAAACTTACGCAACATTAATAATTATAATTCAGTCTTACAGAAAGAGAATGCATGTTGCGTAAATTTAAGCTTTTCAACCTAATATCTCGTTAATAATTAAAAGAATTTTACGTTTTGTTATAACAATGATAAAAATAAAAAATATATATATTTATATTACGATATATGCGTCGCCGCATTTCGATATGCAATTTAGATTTACATGTTTTTTTAAGAATAATTGTAATTATTTTCTGTGCATTGTTTAAGATATCGCTAAAAACAACGCGAATTTGTTAACAATTAATAACGTACGAACAATAAGTAACATGTATAATAATATGAAAGCAAGCTTTTTGTACTGCAAACTTCTTTTGAGCTTTTGTAAAATGAAATGTCTTCGTCGTGTTATGTGTAGAAGTAATATGCACAGTTGTTTTTTTTTTTTCTAACATAAGTTTGTCGCGTGTTCTTGTTCTCCATTTCAACCTTTTAATTTCTCTTTTTTCGTCAAAAGTGAAACATATTCATATTTGACTAAGTTATAAAACTTTAGATGACAAGATTTAAATCATAGGCCTTGTCGTCTGATTTTAAAATTGTTTAAAAAACACTGTCATTTTAAGAATATCTCTCGATAACAAGAGCTCTTTGTCATCGATTGCGCTCTTTCACAATCATTATAAATCCGATTTTCTATCGCTACCAATATAGTATCTTTAAACTTCGAACGGTTTGTTCGCGTCTGCCTGAATGGCTTTCGATTTTTGTACGACTGGAACTACGGGATTTTTCTTCACATCGTGAAGAACGTGAGTCAATCCCTTCTTCGTCTCGAGACTTTTGTAACTACTGTAGACGACGAACCATACGTAAGAACTAGTAATTACGAGAAAGAGAACAATTATACCTGAAAAAAAATGATATTCAAAAATGATATAAATCTAAACTAAATTTCTAATATAAATTGTTCAAGAATATATTTTTAATGTTAATGAGCAAATATGTAGTTTTAAGTTTTGTCTAATATTTAATTATTTTAATTATAAATTAATATTGTTAAAGAAGAAAAAATTTATTATAATATACGTATGTTGATATTTAATTAAAAGTAGTTTTTAATCAATAATTTTTCGCTTGACTTTTATATGAATTAAGTTGAAAATATAATATAAAGTTAATTGAAAGTATAAATTCAACATTGAAGAAATTTATGTATGTGTCGGAATAATATCTCATTGAATTAAGATTAAAAATTATCATCAACAATGATACAAGAAATCAAGAAAAATAGAAACAATCACGTTAATAGAACAATCGTTCTTTAAAAAAAATAAATAAGATGAATTTGAAATTTCATCTTATTGTCTTATATTTATCATTTTTCCAAATCGTTAAACTTTTTATTATGTTTCGTGCACTAACTTAATAATTTAATATTTGATAATTGTGATTAAATTTTGGTCTTTTTCATTTGTTTATCAACTTACGTTCACAAATATCAGCTTTGCCACCGAGCGTAGCAATAAATGGACAATCTTGTTGTACCAAGAACAAAGAAATTGTCAAAGCTGATATTATTGTCATCATGATCATCATCCAGGGTGTCATAAAGTGACGATTATTCTATGGGAAGAAAAAACTTATTTTATCATGGAATTATTCTTACATATGGCAACATAAAATGTAATTACCGTGAGCGCACCGTACAAAAGTAGAATAGTGGAAATAAAATGTATCACTGTGATCACTAATCCACAGTACATCGAATAAACTGTTTCTAAAAACATGTAATAAATCTTTAGTATAAAAAATTGGAGATACAAACCGAAGAAATATATATATATATATATATATTGACCTCTTAAGAAATTTATGAGTTTTCTATTAATTCAAACATGATTTAAGAAAATAATAGTTTCATAACTGTATATTATTTTTCTCAATCAAATGCTTTCTAATATTACTTATTTGGTTCAATGTTTGAAAATATATTTTAATTAATTATTAAAAAAATATTATTGAATAATTTATTTTTTTATGATCTTAATAGATTTCTTGAAGAGGTTAGCTATATAATTGGAAAAAATCTTGTTTTGAAACAAGATTAGAATGTAATATATATGAAATCATTATAAGATTATAAGCACCAGTTGCATTATGATGTGCCATATCCATTTTTCTGGTATTTAAATGATTAGATGATATATCTTCTAAAGCTTCCCTTTCGAGAGCGTCTTCTGTATCTCTTACCACCATTTCTTGAATTCCCATCGCATGTGCTAGTGCTAGCACGAAAAATATCATACTAAACCCGGATGTAAACTGCATTAAAAAAGAGAATGTAATTAATTGTAATCAATTTGTTATGTAGTTATTATTATGTAGTTAAGTATAATAATAATTAAATAATAAGTTATATTTACCAATTGAAATACAGCTATCAACACTGTACCCTGTTGCAGGTTGAAATAATGTAAGAAAGTTTTCAACAATCCCACTTTCATTTTGTTTATCTTTTTTTCAATAACTTCCTACAATTATTATTCCTAAAAGTAAAAAAAAATAAACATCAAAAAAATTTCTATCAATTCTAAACATTATTCAAAATTCTATTATCTAAAAACAGGTTCTCAAACAAAATAAATTCACGAAATTCTTCAATTATCGTTTAAAAATTAGCAAATGTGCAATTATTATTATATAAAATTCAAATCAATTATCATTATATCAAAAACTAATATAATAATAAGAAATAGTAAACAAAAGTAATAATAACAAAAATAATTATAAAAATTCTTACAAACGGGCAAAACTCAAAAATTGCAATGCTGCTATCATGTCATTCGAGGTGCAACAGTAACAATAACACGAAGATAGAAAAAATAGAAAGAGAAAATGTCAGCTGTAATCAGATTCGCAATTCGGTCGCTTTCGACTTGATGCTCTTACTTACCCGCGGAAAAAGGAGCACGAAATATTATTGAAACGTAGTTCACAATGTGAATCAATAACTTTCACTATTTCTTGCTTGTACGAAAGCAAAATAACCGATTGTCAAGCGAAATAGTATCACATGAAGGATGGAAGAATCGAAACGTGGATATGTCGTCCTCGTTGATAACCTCGTATGAGGCTTTTGAAAGAGAACTTGAATTTAAAGGAATGCCCGTTTGTGTGCGTTCGACACACGAAACGCGAGTTTAACTCGTCTAGGGGGTAGAAACGTAACCCCTAGCTATAGATTGTACGGCATGCGCACCACAAACCAATCCAATACCGCATCCTTCAAGGTGCATCCGTTCTCAATTGATCATTGATTGCTACTTGTGCAAAATAATTAATTTTCAACTTCATAGATCTGAGTTAATAAAACAAAATTAATTTCGAATCTAAAAGTGTTTTAGTTTGAAGTTGATATATTATAGATATATCTCTATGGTTGAAAATCAATTCTACGTATTCTATTTAAATATTCAAATTTTCTATTATCAGAAATCTTATTTTAAAATATTAAATTAATATTAAAATTATATTTCAAAATATTGAAATTAAAATTATATTTCATTGTAATCTTCGAAATTTTCTGTACAATAAACTTGATTTTCCGCGTTCTGTATTTAATAATCATTAATAATAATAATTTTTAATCTATATTTTTCTATAACATTGATTTCAGATATGAAAATTATTTATTTTTATTTAAGAAATTAAAAGATCGTTGTTTAACTCACATTATAAAGATTTTGTTTTATTATTTAATTACTTTTGAGTAATGTTATAAAATATTAAAAACTAATAATAGTAGAAAATTATAAATAGAAAATTTTATTCGTTGAATAATAAGATTAATTTTCATGTAAATGCCTTACTTTATTGCCTTATATATTTATATACTTATTAATGCCTTATATATTTCTTTTATGTATAGATTTAAAATACAATTTTAAAAAAATTGAAATAAGTAATCAAAAAAATATAAAATATTTTGAAAATATCAAAATATTTTATGAAAGCATTATTTCGAAATATCAAAATATTTTATTAAAACAATATTTTGGAAACTGTATTTTCAAATATAAAATAAGAAAATATTATTTATAGTATTTTATTCTCAATAAATTTCTTTCTTTTCCAATTCAATTTCTATCATTGTAAGATATTATATATAATTAATATTTTATTAATGTTTTATATTATTTTTAAAGTATCCACAATCGTTCCAATTGGAACGAATCACTGATATATATTTATGATATAATATCATTGAAATAAATGCCATTTAAGCTGTTTATTGGCAGTATCGTAAAACTTTGAATTGCAGTTCGAAAGTTGGTTCGATTGAGGTTGAATCATTTTCAAATAGTAGCCATAGAAACGCAACACGGATTCCTTATTCTCGTTTGTATCGCATTTGTCTTTTTCTCTTGGCACGAATCGTGACAATCCGTTCGAAGCTATTAAACCATGTTCACGTGTTGATAGCCTCAATATTTAATTTTTACAGAAGTTAAAAATGGATCGAAAATATCAGAAAGTGGAAATGGGGGTGGGAGCATTTCATCACCCACCAAGAGCGAGATACAGCGAGGAAACAAAAAATTTAGTGAAACGTAAGTAAAATAAAAAAATTTAATATATTTATATATGGTTAATTGAATGAATTTTAAATTTTTTATTCGATAAATTTTAATTTTAATCTTTCATGATTTTTCTTTTTTCTTTTCTTCGTAATTAAAAATACGACGAAATATGAATAAGAATTTAAAAAAGAATTGTAATAAAGAAAAATTCTCTAAATCTTGATTTTTTAAAGTAATATCTATTATTTTATGTTGATTTTCTTTTTTTGAGTCGATATTTTTGTGCAGTTTTGATGGAAGAATCCAAAGTAAGTATGATGAAAAGAAAATCTATTCAGGAAGCGATCAATAAAGGTAAATCTTTACCACTTGTTATGGAAAAATCGAAAATGGAAGCAAATAAACATAATCTACAATATCAGGCAAGATTAATAGATTATAAAACGATATTATATTAACTAAAATATTAATTATGCATATATGTAATTAAAATATAAATAACATAAATTAATAAAATTGCATAGGTTTTGATGCCCACCGTGTGGAAGAAACGATCAAAAGATATGATTGTTAAAAGTGGCGCGTATGAGAGAGAACAATATAGAAGATTATCTCCTTTGCGTAAGATTATATTGTTTTATTTGCATATTTTTTTATATTAGAAATATGAATAATTTATAAAATTTTGTGTGCAATTACATAATAACTTTATAATAATAATAATAAAATATATTATTTATAAAATAATATTATTTATATAATCAGATAATTTCATACTTTATAAAATTTATGATCTGAAATCAAATTTAGAAAATATACTATAGATAAAACTATCTTTTTCATTAAAACATTCATAATAGGTAATAAAGAGAAGCAAAAGCGTCATTTAGCAAGCATGATGGCTTATGGAAAAGATATAGAAACTCCTCGTGAATCAAAGATTCTTCATAAAACAAAGCAAGAATCACATATTTCTGATAATGATCCTATTGATGATTGTAAGTTAATATAATAAACATTTATTGTATTATATTATATCTGCATTTAAATTTTTCTTTTTTTTTTATTCCTTTTTTAGTGATACGTGGAATTCAAGAAAGAATGGAATTTTTAAGTGACATGGAATGTCTTGGAATGGGCAAAAAATATCGTCCTATAATACAACAAGAAGTAGCGCATAAATTACGATTGATTGAATCAATAGATAAGCAAAAATGCAAGGAAATCCAAAAAGAAATGAAAGAATTTGAGAAAGCATTGCCAAAACCATTTCCTTTGGGACAACTTGATGAAAATTAATAATTTTTATAATTATAACTTTCAATCTTTTATATACAACTCTCTAACTTATATTTTTTACAAAGTTTATAATATTTTACAGTATTAATATTTTAGATAAGACAAATAATAGATATAATAAAATAATCAGATAAAAAATTGAAATAACAATAAAGTATGTATATATAACAGTATGTAAATATATAAATCATTTACATACATTAAATTATCAATGGATCATTAATAAATTTACATTTATATAGTCGTTAATAATCATATAATCTTAAAATTATGAAATTAGATAATGAGATAATTTTTTTTCTTGAAATTAAAATCTATACCCACAATAATAGAGTTAGAATTTCCCGCGCTTGAAAGTATAGAGCCGCTAGTGTAAGTAGGACGTGTGAGAGGGCGCATGCGCGGCGGGAGAAATAAGAACGGTCCGGTCGGAGAAATCGCGCTGATCGTCAGTTTTGCGCCACACGGCAATGGCGTATGTTGTTGGTGTATTTGTGTCGTGGTTGATATCTCACCGACAAGTCATATTGTCATTTCATCAAAGTACACAACGCGAGTTTACATAGAACATTGTTTTAAAGACGATTGTGTATACGTGACTGTATTTTCGAAAAGCAACAGTGCAATCATCTCGCAGGATCCCGGATGATCTACAAGTGATCCAATATGGCGTCGACCGATCTGTCGTTCGGTAAATGATGAACCCGTGTACCGTACGCACCTTTGACAAGGTCTTTCCGAGGTCGTCCGGTTTTTAAGAGCAACGTGTATCCCTTTTAATGTTGTCGAGCGTCGATAGCTCTTTCTCTTTCTTTCTTTTTCATTATAACATTATATTTATATTGTATTTTATTTATATAAATTATTAGTAACTTTTTGTGAATTCTATTATTTATATTTCATTTCATTTATTTCATTCCGTTATAAACAAATTTTTAAATATTATATATGCGAAGTTTTAGAAGTTATCATTAAAATATTCGTTAAAAAAATCTTATTATTTTATAAATAATCATATTTGTTAAGAATAGCTATTCAAATTTAATAGAATTTATTGAAATTGTAGTTTCGTAACATAGATTATCGATATATTGTTGCATTCACTATCTAAGGTTAACATTAAGTTAACATTTACGTAATAATAATTCTTATTATAAATATTTGATATTTTTCTATTTTTATTCGCGTAAAACTTGAATAAAAGTTAATTTGTTCTCTTCGATCTTTAATATTTATATTTTTGTGAAAAGTGAAATTTTACTCGCGAAGTGATATTTTTTTATTTTGCTTCTTGTCACTATACGAACCAGGCTGCATACCGGCGTTCTACAGAGAAGTCTACGAGAAGATTTGCTCTTCTACGAGTGGAAATGTGGAACGAGAGGTGTTTAAATCCCTTCTTGTCAAGTCCCAGCTGAGCAGCTCCGTTCTCAGCCAGGTATGTCTTTTTTTCGTCTTATTCTTATCTCTTTTCCCATGTCGTTCAATGACTAGTACGTATATACTTACTGCCACAATGATAGAAGAGAGAGTACAGTGCCTTTAACTTTATAATTTCTTCGCACGCCGCGCTTAGGTTAATGCTACCGCTGTAGCAGTGCATTAACTCTTCTTCCGTATCAGATGACGGTTAATCATTGATGCATATTAAATGAGAATCGTTTTCAATGAATTGAATTAATATTAATAAATTCATTTTATTAATTTTATAATTAAATTTATAATGAAATTTTATGTATAATGTGTAATTAAATTTAATTTAATCAATCAATATTTAAAAGAACAATCAATTTAGAATTTTTAATTATGTGATATTTTACTCCTTCGTTCCATTATTAAATGTAAAATTCATAGAATATGCTTTTAGTTTAAAATGTTGCTGTTGTGCACACAATACGTATATATTTTTAATTAATAATTCTAAAGCTAAACAAAATTTAATGAAATATAATAAATGAGAAATATTGCTGATTTTCATACAATTTATATTGTGTTCTTATTGAATATATGTGAAAAAAATAATAATTAGTCAATATTAAATTTTTGTATACTATTAGAATTTTCTAAAGAATGATGACTCATTAGAAATCTTAAGAAATCCTTCCTATTAGTAAGCGACTACTTTTAAATTGAAAAAACAGTTATTGCCGGATCAACCATGTTGAGAATATTATATTTTATTAATAAATGTTGAGAATAGTATATTTTATTAATAAATGACAATCTTTTTTTCTTAATATTAACATTTCTATTTTTCAGTTTCAAATTTCCATTTTACATTCTTAATTTTTAAACACAATTTTAATATGTTTATTTAAAATTTTTATAGTTAGTATAGATAGTTCTAATTAATAATTTTTGATATTTATAAATATATTTGATATAATTTATAGATAGAAAAGATTGTTTATAACATAATAAACTACTTAAAAGAACAAACTAATAAAAAAATTTCTCATCAAAATTTATATCCTAAAAATATTAAGAATTATAATCTATTTTTTCCAACATTCTCATTAAAATAATATATTAAATACGATATTAAATATATTCTATTATTGTTGAAACTTTCAACAATACGTAAGCTGTAATTTTTTCAAATACAGTAAACAACAATATTTGAACAATATAACTTTTAAAAGAATTCACAAAAAAATTATTATAAAATGTTCGGTTCTTTTGTGAATCGTTTTGTGATTCTGAGAGATTGGTGAATCTAATCTTTTTTCCAGCACTTAATTCATCTAAGATCCTCTTTCATAATTAAATCTACTTTGATCACTTCGTATACAATTTATTCTATAACAATAAAATGGATCATTGTCAGACAAATACACATCCTGACACAAATTATATAGTACGTATACATACATACATTAACGAGGTTAGATAACGAAACGAAATCATACAACGGTACACAAACTACGTGCCCGAAACAGATAATAGCTTGAATACATTTCTCGTATAGCGGTTTTCCCTGTGGAAAACCGTTTCAGAATTTTTTCTTCTTCTTTCTTTTATTGTAAACCGATGATTAAATGCTGGAAAAAATCGTTTTTATTTTATCACGAAAAAGAAAATAGAAAAAAAAAAAAAGAAAGCAAATAAAATTTAGATCATGCAATCATTTCTAGTCGCATGCTATTTGGTACATACGGTATGTCTGAGTCACTGAGGTCACATGAAATACGCATTATTATGATATGATTCAACGTTTTATGATGCGTAATTCTATTCAATTATTATTGGATAAAGAATGAATTTAAAAAAAAAATTAATTATTTTTATGGATTAATTTTAATAAAAATTAGATAGATGATTTAGAGATAATAGGAAAAGAAATTCCATATTTTTAATATTGCATTAGATTAGTGATTTATTAAGAATTCAATTTTAAGAATACATGCATATATTACACATTAAAGTATTTTTAATTATTTCGTATATTATCTCATTGAAACTGCTTTTTAGGATTTTTTAGGATTTATGAAATGATAAAAATATTTTATATTTATTAATAGAATAATTAATATATTTAAAATTAGTTTTTATTTAATTTAACTAATAAATGACTTTAAAAGAAATATCTTTCTCCAACATTTGAAAATATTTTTTAATATTAATTGTATATTTTATCCAATGTTGCAAACATATTTTAAATAAATAAAATTATAAAGTATGGAACAAGATAAAATTACAATAGCTTCGTCCTTGAATAAGTCAATTATGTATATTTTACACGTTGTTTATTTTAAAAGGATTATGCAATTTCAAGGCTACTTTTTATATCATTCTCGTAATAGATTTATCCTTCATTGAAGGTTTCTTTATCTAAAATCTTGATATTATTTTTTAAATATAAATTGTATATAAAATTATATCTATATAAGTTGAAACTATTTTGCTTTAAAAATTCCATGCTTTAATTTAGTCACTGATCAATATATCGTCGCTATCATTTTTAATTAATAACCTTTAACACCTCTTAATAATATAATTATTATAAGTCATATCATATCTCTATAATTCAAAATTAATAATAAAACTATATCAATTTTCATAATTTCTTTTATTTATGGGAATATCACATTCATTTGAGGGCCGTAAGAGGTCGCAAATTGTTTAAATATTAACAAAGGGGATCGCAACTCAAAGATAATTGAAAAACACCGGTCTGAATTATCATTTATTTTAAAAACTTTTCAATCATTCATATGGATAACCGATTATCACTCGTAATTATTTTAAGGTCAATGAATAAAATTTCTTTTCGTGAAGATTACATTATCCTGTGTCTGCTGTGTTACAGTATCATTATTTTATCATTAGCACGCCCGTTGACGATAGTCTCCACGGACGCCCCTTTGTAATAATAGAAGATTGCGTAGCAGGGTCAACTATAAACACTTTAAAATAATATAACTTATAAATATTGAATATTATTTTCATATATAAAGTGAAAACAAAATATTACACAAAATATTTTTTGTTTTTTGTAAAGATAATCATTTTAAAGTTTCAAAAAATTTATAAAAAATTAATAAACAATCACTTAATCGGATATTATATAGATATAGAAATATATATATGTTTCTATTATTCTCTTGTATATTTAAAAGATATTGATTATAAAAGTTTATATTGATAATTATTATTGATATTTCAAGAAAATTTAAATTTTAATCTTCGAATGCTTCATATATATGAAACATTAGAATAAAGAAATTTATAGAGATGGTTCAATAGAATTTTTATTTCAATATTTCTTCAATATTGTCCAATTAAGGATCAGTTACTAGTAATAGAGGACGAATACTCTTAATATCATCTGACCCTTGATAAAACTAACTATAATAAATTCAATAAAATATTGAAATGGAAGTTCTATTGAGATTCAAATACGAAAGAAGTATTAATAATAATTTCATAAATTTAAGTTGTTAGATTTTTGAATTTACGAAGGAAAAATTTTTCATTTTTTTCTTTTTGTTAATCACAAAATTAACATAATAAATTGTAGATAAAATTATATGCATAATTTGAGGTCGTTTTTATTGATAAAAAAAATAAGAATATATAATTATTCAAATTTTTAGATAATTTGTTATTGATAAACAAAGAAAAAAATATGAATATAAAATTATATATTATATATATATATATATAATGAAAAATTTTAATTATTAAAATTTAAATTATTAAAATTCATCAGGAATAAATTATCTTTAAGGAAAATAAGTAAAAACAAGAAAAAATATTCTCATAAATATTACAAGTGTACAATATACATTGTAACTGTTTGAAAAATCTATAGAATAACATTAAACAAAAGATTACCGTTCCACAAACGTCTTTTGTTCCTGATTTTCAGTTATGCATTAACGAATTATACGTCATTTATATGTTTTTCAAACTTTTACAATTTCATTTTAATCCATTATTGTAATAAACATTGTTATAATAAATGATAAATATTATTATTTCATAATAAAATAATTCCAATTTATACATTCTCATATCTCTGAATTTGAAAAAAATTATTTATATAATTTTAATGAATTATTTACTACAACATATTTTGCAAAATAATATATGTCTCATTCATAATTATTAAATAATATCTTTTTACAGTTATGAATCCATGAATGAAAACACTTTTTTTTTAACTAATAGATTAAAATTAAAATGAAGAATCGTATTTATTAATTTCCTTGTGAGATAGTGTTCAAATATTTGTATAAAAAGCCACTGTATAAAGTTCACGCGTCTCAAATACTATATATTGTTATGTTCCAATTTGACACGCAATGACGTTCATCGAGATGCAGGTTGAAAAAAATCCGAGAGGCATAATAATTGGTGAAATTAGAAACGACAAGCCGACACGACATGTCACGACACAACACATGATACGGCGTACATAACAGGGATTGAACGTCGCGTCTCGTTCATTGACTAATGACACAATCAAAATAACGTTACGTGGGTCGCTGCTTTATCGCTAGTCATCGCGGGTCACTATAAATAGGCCGATACGAAATGATACACATGATATTTTGCATGATCGTGTAAGATCGTTCTTTGCTTTCCTAGTTATTTATAATATAGTTAACCTCTAACATTTTGTAACAATTTTGCATCTACGTAAATACATACATATATGTATGTCTTTATACTCTTTACCATTCATTTTTGTCTCTGTTAATATTTTTACATTTTATATCTTATATTTTATGTTTTATGTTTTATTTTCTTAAGTTTCTCTAGTTATCTAAATCATTATTTTAAACATTTCATTTTTAAAAATTATTGTTTTTGTCTGTATATGAAAAATTGCCATTTATTTTAATTTTTTTATTTATGGTTTTTAATGAAAACTCCTTTATTTTTCGAGACTTAAGTTTTAATGATTTTATAAAAATAGGCTTTACAAAAATA